GACTTTTTCAAAAACAACAAAAACGTGTCTATCGTGTGCGGGCAACATGATATCAACTGGCACCAGTTGTGTTGAGTGTGAAGTTGGGATGGTCAAAGTCACAGAAACGACGTGTGACTACTCGTACAATGTCATCCCAAAGTGTCAGATTGCAGACCATTTCAATAATCAACACATTTGCACCACATGTTTTGCGCCATACGTCACTTCAAGTGACTTGAAAGCGTGCAATTTGGGGTACACCACTACAACACACTTCAACACAGATGATCACAAATCACATATCAACATGGATGGGTGCGTCAACCAAATCGATACAACGTGTTACTTGTGTGATTTTACAACGTTGTTAAAAGGTGTTTGTAATGAAATGAATGAGAAGTGTGAGACATCCTCGCAACACGGCTGCGACAAATGCGTTTCAGATGTGATCACATCAAATGGCAACTGTGCGAACACCACAAATTGTAAATATGAAATCAACAGAGAAAGTGGCACCGAGTGTCTGTATTGTGTCGATGACGTGTTGTGTGGCAAAGCAAAACAAAATTGTGAAACATCACACAACGAGTACTGCTACTTGGCAATGAATGGGTATCACACAACAAACGACAACACTGTTAAACAATGTGAAAGTGAAGTGTGTGTCGTTTCAAATGGTGTTATCACAGATTTGAAATGTAAAGAAGGCAAATTGTTGATAGATGGCGTGTGTACAACTAACACCATGTGTATAGTAATGTCGTATGGTGATTGTATCAAGTGTGATGCAAAACAACACATCTCACATGGTATGTGTTCACAAAACAATCCAAATTGTGACAATCAGAACGGAGATATTTGCATTGTGTGTAACAACTCCATCAACGTTGAAGGTGTGTGCACAGACACCCAGTCAATTCATTGCAGTTTATTTGACAAAGTGTGTGTCACATGCGAGAGTGGCTATTACAAAGACGTTGATGGCTGCAAAGAGAAGACTGGCGTTTTGTCAAATTGTGGTGTTGTCTCGTCACTCAACACCAAATGTGTCGAGTGTGAGTCCGATTACAATTTCGATGGATATTTGTGTGTGCCACAAACACTTCCAAATGAGACCACCAAAGAAACAACTAAAAATGAAGACACACAGACAGACAGCCATTGTGAAGTGAGCACCACAAAGGGGTGTCTGAGGTGCCTCAGTGGGTATTACCTCACAGACCGGATGTGTGTCAAGTGTGAGTACCCCTGTGTCTACTGTTCAAATCAGACATTCTGCACAAAGTGCGACGATTACTCGTATGCAAACAGCAACGGCGTTTGCACCGAAATTAACGACCTTGTCAGTGTGTGTGATGTGTTGATGTCAACATATCGCGGGTGTGTAGTCTGCAAGGAAGGATACATGCGGTCATCTGATGGGTCAACGTGTATTGGCTGTGATGTGTCATGCAAGTCGTGCACAAATGAAGGGAATTGTGTTGTGTGCAATGAGGAGTTTTATCGCACTTCATCGAATGTCACCAAATTGTGTTCTCCACAAAGCGAGTTGACTTCGTGTGCAAACAGAACAACAGCTGGTTGTGTGCTATGTGAAGGTGGACACTATCTCAAAAACAATTTGTGTGTGAAGTGTCAAGACACGTGTACACAATGCAATGGCATCGATGAGTGCACTGACTGTGTAAAAGACAGTGTGCTTGTGTCAGGTGTCTGTTCACACTACACAGCCATCGAAAACTGTGTTGCGTCTGCCAACAACAAATGTTCAAAATGTGATGACAACTACAAATTGAGTGACGACATGTTGAGTTGTATTCACACCACAAATTATGGTGTTGTTGTTGGCATCCCAATTGTTTCTGTGTTCATTATAATACTCATTATCATTAGTATTATAGTAATTACAATAGTCGTTTTACAAAAGCGCAAAGAAACAAAGAAAATGGAAAACATCTGTGTCTTTAAAATGAGTCGTTCAAACATCGCAATGAGTGTGTTAGACGCCAACATTTTAACAAACAAAAATTCGCTGACATTTGATGACACATGTGAAGTCATTCCCGTTGAAAAAGAGTCTCGTGAGCTCCTCTGTGTTGGCAACAAAGGCAAAGGCATTTGAAAGTCCAAATCACAACACATGGCGGCTGCGATAAATACTCAATTCGCACCGAGCCGCAATTGGTGACTTTGAAGAAAGGCGAGGCATGCGAATTTGAGGTGTTTGTAACACCACACTGCTCACTGAAATTACACGACGAGATGATGATAGTCACTATGAACATCGAAAACAGTGAGACTGTGTCTGTTCCAATTGCCATTGAAATCACAACAGAAAACTCGACTAAATTGGATTACGACGAGTTGAAAGAAGACAAGAAACTTGGAGAAGGCTCGTTTGGCGTTGTCTACAAAGGAACTTACAGAGGAAATGTTGTTGCTATCAAGAAAATGAAACAATCAAATGACACAGACAAACTCATCGAAGAATTTGAAAATGAAGTGTCAATGTTGGACAAATTTAGAAGTGAGTATATTGTCCATTTTTATGGAGCTGTCTTTATACCAAGTAAGATATGTATGGTCACAGAATTTGCACAATATGGAAGTCTACAAGACTTGATCAAACACAGAAAAAGTGAACAAATTCCGCCAATGAAAATTCGAGTTAAAATGATGATTGATGGAGCAAGAGGTGTATTATATTTACATGAGAACGGGATACTACACAGAGACATCAAGCCAGACAACATTCTTGTTATTTCACTTGACTTGAATGAGAAGGTCAATGCAAAATTGACTGACTTTGGAAGTGCAAGAAATGTCAACATGTTGATGACTAACATGACATTTACAAAGGGTATTGGAACTCCAGTGTATATGGCACCTGAGATTTTAAACAAAGAAAAGTATAAGAAGGCCGCGGATATCTTCTCATTTGGAATAACTATGTATGAAGTTTTTGGGTGGTGCGAAGCATATCAAAACGACACATTCAAATTTCCATGGAAAATCGCGGAGTTTGTGATTCAAAACAATCGACTGAAACGAAAAGACCCAATGGAAGAAGAACAGTACAACATCATCACACAATGTTGGTGCCAAGACCCCAAAAGTCGTCCACAAATGGAGATGGTAGTGGAACAACTTGAAAATCTATTATGATTGTTTTATAAACATTTCAAATTGAAATACAACCAAATAAATTAACCAATTCAAATGAATTATAATTGTTTTTGTAAAGTCTAGACAATAATTGTTTTTGGGTATACAATATTTTTTTGTATTGTATATAATAAAAATGTTATTAATTTTAATTAACATGCCGACGTACCTAATCTACAACGAACCAATACTGTTTAAAAGAGCAGTGTTTTTGTTTTTTGAAAAAAAATATATTATACAGTATAGTTCAATTATAATAAAATGAAAATGGAATAAAGAGTTCAAATCGTTAACTAAAGAGAAAGGACGGACATGGGGACGAAGGACGGGAATATAGGCCGAAAGACGTCCTTTGTGGT